GCGGGCACATATGAGGCCATATCATGAACAGAGAGTTTACGACACCTCAATATACACAAAGGGCTATATTCGTGTGTCTGTTTGCATGTCGTTTCTGTGTCAGTCCGCAAAAAGTCACATGAACGCGATCAGGAGTGTGAAATAATTGTGTTTTGAAATGGGAAGTCCTTTGGTACTGTTTATACCGACCCCTAACCAATATGGGCCATTCATGACGTCGTTGACTCTAAATCCAAATCAGAACTTCCTTGCTTTTTGTAGCAAGACTGACCTTGTTTGATTTTTTTTCGATCACAGAGTGACTAAACGTCAGAGTAGAAAAGAGAAAGATGGTAAACATGTACAGTGACAGCCAGTAGGCATCAGGTGTCATCAAGCATTCTGCTGACTTTTCTATTACATATCTGATGCGCGATTCCCTATAGCTAAGCTCAAGCGAACTTTCGAATGCAAGTGTTCATTATAACTACGCATTTAAAAAACCCTCTACACTTGAGTGTGTTTTCTGCAGAATTGAAAGCTTAGCGGAATTTTGGATGAAGTGGCATTTCGTATACGGAGCACAAAAAATGCTTCCATTCTCCTGAGTAACATCGTACATAAGCGCTTGTGGAAATGTGATGCACGCGTCAGCGTGCGTAGCTCAATTGGTACAGGTAGAAAGCAAGTGTTTGCTGTAAAATTGTGCAAGAACTTCAAGAGGGAGGTAACTCGTCCGCAAGTGATGGACGCGACAGGTTGATCCTATGAAACGGATGAAACTGCCCGTTTTATCTTAGAAAGAAACGGAATCTAATACTTGGTGCTTTTTCTTGTTGATCGTTGTTACTGAAGTCGACTGACTCAGCGACTATTTTTGTTGAGCTGAGATGTGAAGGAGTACGTCCCACTTCATTTGGATACTCGTGAAAGTTACGAAAGAGGCTAAGTGCTAAACTCTAGCAAAAGGGCAAGTGTGTCAGGTGTATCGGAGAAGCATGCTTTCCAATGGAACCGACAGCGGTCATTGAAATGATGTGGTCAAGTGTTACCAAGATTTCGGTCATTCCAATAATTTTTGTCCCTTCCAACGCTACAAAGTAATGTAAAATGCCTGCCTTTTCAGCTGTCGATAAGGAGTTCGGAATCAGAGCAGTCATCAGATGACGACCACGCTACTAAGGTTGAAGGCTTCTCTGTTCCCTCTTATCATTGACGAAACGCTTCATGTACCAACTTAAGGAGGTTATGCTCAATATGTCGCCAACTACCAATAATGCGGACGATTCAGCCCGGCTCACCAAGAAGTAGTGTATAACCGACAGTAATTCATTCGTAATCACTTGCTCACTCTTCCTCAAAGTACATTGCTATTATGAAAATAAAGTTTCTTTTCGACAAAATTCCCCTGCTAGAGCACAAATGGATTCATAAAAAAGAAAGAATCTATCAGAACATCCCGAGCTCTTTGGAAAGCAGCGCCATATGTAGAGTGGTGACAGAATCAGAGGGAGCACTTCGTCATTAGCTGTAAGTACCAAAACTTGCGTAATTCCGAAAATAAAGTGTTCTGGTGTTTATCAAATAGAACTTGGATCGCGACCACGCATTTGTTTTCTAGTTATAGGTGGATTAGGATGCGTATTCAGCCTACCCGATGGCTTACGGAGGTCAGCCGATCTTCTATCTTTTATCTATACAAATCTGTTATGCTCGACCTCGAGTTTCCACAGGTAGGCTCTACGTGAATTTATCTTACCAGTAGTGATTGATCAAGACCACAAAACATGGGTTGATGCGATAGCTTTTGTAGTGATCCACTCGAAGTTGATACTCTATCTACACTGCAACCTAAGACACGCTGGCACGCTGATTATTTCGCATCTCCAGAGTACATAAAGGGTCAAAGAAACATGCGCACTTCAACCTATTTTCAATCGAGAACAGGCAGACTTGAAAGCTCTGAATAAATATGAAAGTTTCCTACCTATCGAGCGATGTAAATATAGTATAGGAAGCTCTGTGAAGTCGATGGATACTTTATCAAAGCTCGACTAGCTCGGTAAACCCTACACCAGAACTTCATAAAGGAAGCTTAACTAATACTGAATCGATGAGGCCGACATGCGGTGATGTACGCAGACCATTTCGTCCGAGCTGAAAGCTTGATGAACGCGCTGTCATCCTACATGCATTGTCCAAAAATTTGTCCCCATCCACTGATATGGACAATTCAGCTCAACTATGTGAGCCCACGTTCAAAAGAAGGAGAGAAGTAGATAACAGAGTTCCCCATCTCTTCTCGGAAAGCAAGGAAAAGCTGATTTTGAGCGAAAGGCACAATTTTTT